AAAGGGAAGTAATTTATGATAAAACAATATGGATTTCAAAATGGAAAGGCTTGAGTATGGTTACACTGGAAGAATTAACAAAGTAGTTAGATACATATATATATATATATTTATAATTTATGAGTTGAATTGATTATTTACTCTGTACCAGATCCTATTCTAAGCACTCCACATGTCTTAACTCATTTAATCCCTACCAAAAACCTATGTAGTAGATAGTGTTATTATCCCCTCTTTACAGATTGAGAAAACTGAGGCCTAGAGAGATTAGGTGACTTGCCCAAGGTCCCACAGCTCCATGTCCTTACTCACACTGGTAGGTGTTCAATAAATATTTGTCAAATAAATAAATGAATAAAGTATGGCTTGTGGTCTACAGGGGCCCCCAGATCTTTATCGATCCCAGTAGCCCTTTGGGTAAGTCATCCCTACCTGGGACCCTGAGGGGTTAGCGGCTCATTCAAGGGGTGGTTCGAGGGAGCCTCATGCTGTCTGGACCCTCCGGACAAATCCTGGACACTGTGGTAGAACCTTGAGGACATTAAGAGTATAAAGGAAGGGGACATGGGTCAGCTGTTTATAAGGGCCTCATAGCTGGACTACTGTCTTCCTCCTCCCCCCACCCACCCCAGGCTGAGCTCACTGTCGGCGGTTGGTACTCATGTCGACACAGACTGTGGGGACCTTGGAGGAACAATGCTGGTGGAACTTGTAGCCACAGGTTTGGCAGCGGAAGCCATTGAACAGAAACTTAAGGCAGAAGTCACAGAACGCCAGGCTGAAGAAGGTCTTCCGTACCTGCTGCCAGAGCAGGGAAGGTTGAGGTCTGGTCAAAGACCCTCCCCTCACACACAATGTGCCCCCACTGTCCACCCTGCACTCACAAAATTGTGCATGGTCAGTGGGACGTCTTCAAGGACCTCGACAATGAGTTCCTCGCCATCCAGGGGGGCAATGGCCGTGTCCCAGGCAGTGACTGTCTTTCTCCTGCAGAGGGCATGGGAGGGAATGAGTAGAAGGATGGACAGAGGCCAAGAAAAGACAGAGAGCCCCCAAAATCCCTCCAAGCCTGCCATCAATGGAGTAATATTTGGCATGTTCAATTCTCATCACAGCAACTCTAGGCATTAGTCACTCTCCTTGCCGCTATTTTACAGATGAGAAAACAGGCTCAGAGGGATTAAGTGACTTGCCCCAGGCCATGAGGGTAATGAGTGGCAGAACACTGTGAAGAGGCCATGCTCTTAAACACAAGGTGAAAAGCAAACCAAGCCAAACAACTAAATCTTAGAAGTGATGAGTGAGCTCCTGAAAGGGGGGCTGATGAGGCACTGAAACAACAACTAAATGCAACATGTGAATTGAAGAAAAAATTTAGGAACCCCAGAACAGAGGAATAAATGGAAGGGCAGCAAGGCCCAACTCAGCAGACAGAGAATGGGGACTCTGAGGAAGGAGAGGGGTGACAAATTAATCAATGGTGAAAGAAGAAAATAGATGAACTCTGGAAGGAAGTGATGGAGCAGGGTGAGGACTTGGGGGCCAAAGAGAAAATGAGTCGCTGACCTTATAGGCCAAGAAACGAATGAAGTGACCAACCAAAAGATGGATGGACTCAGATTAACTGAACTACAAAAATCCCCCCTTATCTATGCTTTCACTTTCCACAGTTTCAGTTACCCACAGTCAACCATGAAAATATTAAGTGGAAAATCCCAGAAATAAACAATTCATCAGTTTTAAATCGCACACCATCCTGAGTAGCGTGATGAAATCTTGTGCTGTCCCACCTAGGATGTGCATCAGCCCTTTATCCAGCAGATCCACGCTATCTACATGGCCTGCTGTTAGTCACTTGGGAGCTGTCTCAGTTATCAGACGACTGTCTCAGTATTGCAGTGCTTGTTCAAGTCATCCTTATTGTACTAAATTATGGCCACAAAGTGCAAGAGTAGTGATGGTGGCAATTCAGATATGCCAAAGAGAAGCCATATAGTGATTCCCTTAAGTGAAAAGATGAAAGTTCTTGACTCAAGGAAAGAAAAAAAAATCACATGCTGAGGTTGCTGAGATCTATAAGGATGAATCTTCCATCCTTGAAATTGTGAAGGGAAAAGAAATTCGTGCTGATTTTGCTGCCGCACCTCAAAGTGCAAAAGTTACAGCCACAAGGCGTGATAAGTTCTTAGTTAAGAAGGAAAAGGCATTACATTTGTGGGTGAAAGACATGAACAGAAATGTGTTCCAATGACAGTAACAGAGTTTGGTACTATCCGCGGTTTCAGGCATCCACTGGGAGTCTTGGAGCATACTACATATAAGGAGAGGACCAGAGACTAAGGGAAGATGAATGGAAGACTTCATGATGACCCTGAGGAGGGGATGGGGAGTAGGGCACTCAGTGGGTACACATGGGCTGCCACACTCACCCCTTGATGAGTCGGTAGACCACGCAGCAATCTTGATTGAGACCCCGCACCTTGAGGGCCTTGTCTAGAGAGTCATAGACACTCATGCCATCCCGGACAGTCACCTGTGTGTGTGCAGATGTAAAAGTTCTCAGTGTCCAACAGAGGCCCCAGCTGATACTCCCATCCCTCTGCAAAGGCCTTCCCCCAGCCCTTGTCACCCTTCTATTCCCAGAGTTACAACTGGGTCCATCCACAATCCCTGACGGTTTTGCTCATAGGACTCACCACCGTGCGCTGCTTGTTGGGCAGGTACACTTTGACTGTGCCCACTGCCCGGGACGGCTCAGCCCCATTGGCAGGGGAGCCCCTTGGTGGCTCCATGGAGCCTAAGACTTTGTCAAGATGGGCTGAGGTGGGGCTGGGCAGGTGCCATGGGGCTCCTAGGAGAAGGCAGACAGAAGAAGAATTCAGAGGTCCAATAATGATAGTCTGGAAGCAAAGTGGCAGGGACAAAATAAAATTCAATCTCCAGCTATCCATGAATGAACAGATAAAGGAAATGTGGTACATATACACAGTGGAATATTATTCAGCCATAAAAAGAATGAAATCCTGTTATTTGCAACAACATGGATGAAACTAGAGGACGTTATGTTAAGTGAAGTAAGCCAGTCACAAACAGATAAATATCACATGTTCTTATGCATATGTGGGAGCTAAAAAAAAATTGAACTTATGGAGATAGAGTAGAATGATGGTTACCAAAGGCTGGAAAGGGTAGCAGGGAGGGGGGATGATGAGGAGATGGTTAATGGGTACAAAAATATAGTTAGAGAGAATGAATAAGATCTAGTGTTCAGTTGCACAATAGGGCAACTATAGTGAACAATAATTTATTGTATATTTCAAAATAACTGAAAGAGTAGAAATGGAATGTTCCTAACATAAAGAAATGATAAATGTTTGAGGTGATGGATATCCAATTATCCTGATTTTATCATTACACATTGTATGTTTATGTCACATGTACCCCATGAATATGTACAACTGTTTTGTATCCTTAATAATTAAAAATTTAAAAAAAAATTTTAAATTCTATCTCTAGGCTCTCATCAGCCCCTACAGCCTAATTTCCACACAACAGCCCAAGAGATATTTACACCTGAGATTCATCCAGTCCCTCCTCTGCTCAGACCTTCCTGTTGCTTGTCTCACTATTGAATGCCCAGGTCTCCAATACACCTTCATGGTACAGGGTGGGGAGGGAGGGCATGGGGGACACAGTGGGAGGCAGCACACACTGTCCTGGAGGGTACAGGTGCACACAAGACTCTGCTGGGGCCGCATGGGGAAGTCAGCACACACTGCACTGAGGTGTCAGGTACATAAGGGGCAAGAATGGAATGTCCTGGCTTATTAACGGAGAAAGGAGTAGTTACAAAACACTGTGGTGAGCAAGAAGTCACAGACAGTGTGGTGAGAAACAGAGGATCATCACATATTGCCCTTAGTTTGGGGAAAATGGAGGCTGCACCAAACATGTTCTTAAAGGGTACTGTGGGCATCCCTAAGCCTTGCGGTGTAATGTTGATGACAGGACCACAGACACTGTGTTAGGTGACTAATGGAAATTACAAGACTGTGATGAGGGACTCATAGGGGGTCACCAGACACTATGCTGAAGGGAAATGTAATAGGGGTCACTAGGGAGTATAATGGGGAGAAGGGCAGATAATGGGGGTCACCAGACCTTGAGCCAAATGGAGGTGGTAAGGGTGGATCACTAGACGTTGCTCATGGGGAAAAGGAAAAGGAAGGTAATAGTGTTGAGGTGAGAAAAATGGAGGTAAAGAGGAAACTCCAAAATTCTCCCTGACAACCAATGAGGGGTCACAGTCGTATTACTGGTGTAAACTGAATGAGGGCTCCTGGAAGGGGTTGGGGAGGGCTGAGGAGGAGTAACGGGGGAATCCTCAGACATTCCCCTAGCGGGTCAGACACTGATCTATAATAAGGAAACCAAAGAGAGAGCCGCGTCTGCACGCGCTCCCGGAGTTGATAAGGAAAGGTCATCAAACACCTTAAGAGGGTTAAGACGGAATCGGGGCACCACACACCCCAACCCAAGCCCTACACGGCAGGGTCCCGCCTACCAAAGGGCTCGCGGCTTTGCGCAGGCGCGCTGCCGCTCCCGGCGGGCGAACCGCCCCAGGTCAAACCACTCCTCCGGTTCCGGGCGGGAGGCGCCGGAGCCTAGGCGCAGCCATCCTGGAGCTGAGCTTTCCGTTCGGGCTCCTTGCCCGTGCCCAGCGGCTGCTCCAGAAACCGAGCTCTACCAAGCCCACCCTCACCTGTCACGCCGCTACTGCCACCGCAGCCTCCATCTTGGGCCTGTCTTCTTGTTTCCCCACAGGGTCCGCCTCCACGGCCCCTCGGACTTTCACCATTGGCTTTGTGGGACCCAGCCCTCCATCCTTATTGGATGAAGGTCACGCCTGTCAAGGCAAGACCAGCGGAATGTGGGTCCTGTTCCGGATTAGGAGAGGCTGCCTGAAACGTCAGGGTCTGAGGCAAGTTCGCACGTCCGGATTCACGCAGGCGCAGTCGGGGCGAGACCTGCATGCCGAGAGCTTTAACTCCAACAGTGCCGTGGAGGAATAAAGCAGGACTTTTTTTGGTCATTTGGGGCTCACCTTAGAAGTTTAGGAATCTGGGTGGGGAAATTCTTAACTACCCTTTTTGGGCCAAGCACCCTTTTAGGGTTTTCCTGTCTCAGTTTTACCATCTTTGAAATGGATTTGAATCAGACCAAATGATCTGCAATGTTTACCATCTCTAGGAGACTACAGTCACAGTTTTCGGTGACAGTAGGTTTCTCATGTGGCAAGGCTGGGCCTCTGGCCCTAGAGGGAGTGGCCTGCTGTTCTGGAAGGTTTCTTTAGGAACGGGGTTGATGAGGGTTTTGAAAGACTGGTCTAGGTGGCCAGGTAAAGAGGGAAGTGTGGACCTGGAATGGAGCAGAGTCCCGGTCAACGTGTGGAGGTATTGTAGAGTAAACACGAATTTTTAAAAATTGAATTTTCCCTGCTGTCAAAACAGAGACTTTCCCCTTTCCTTTTTCTTAGAGCATTTCCTTTAGAAAACTTGTCATTGCAAGTTTTTTCTCTGTCCCTTTGAGATATGTGTAATTTTGTTTTTCTTAGAGACAGTGTCTCACTCTCGCCCAGGCTGGAGTGTAGTGGCACAAACATAGCTCACTACAGCCTGGAACTCCTGGGCTCACCGCAGCCTGAAACTTTTGGGCTCAAGCAAGCCTCCTGCCACTACAGGCACGCGCAGCCACATCCGGCTGATTTTTTTATTATCATTATTTTTTTATAGAGACAGATCTCGCTATGTTTTGTTGCCATGTTGCCCAGGCTGGTTTCAAACTCCTGGTCTCAAGGGATCCTCCTGCCTCCCAAAGTGCTAGAATTACCAGCGTGAGCCACCAAACCTGGCAGTAAATCTTTTTAAAAGCTAAATAGATTTCTTGTCAGTTTTACAACCCCTGTCCCTTTGGGTTTTTGTTTGTTTTGTTTTGTTTTGATTTTCTTAAGAACCTTGGAGCCATCTCTTTGAAATGTAAACATCAATGAAAACAGAACCCCTGTCTCCTGTTTCCATGGGAATTTGGTCTAGGTACCTGGTTCTGAGTTGTTACATGCTTGTTATAGAGATATGAGTTTTAGTTTTCCTTTGGATAAAGGTAATTAACTAACACACATGGTCACCCCCATTACCAAGTGAATTTGGGATGAACTATGTGTACCAAATGGTGCTGTCACGTTCTCTTACTTGAGCACAAGTTTATTTTGAGAATATGTATGTAATGTGTTGTATCTGCCTACTATATATAAAAGGATTAGATTTCTTTCTGACTTCAAAATTTCTTTAGTGGATTGCTTGTGATGCACATCCCAGTCTGGTTTGATGCTTATTCAGTAATAAAACTTTTTCATTCTTTTCTACTTTGTGGAGAGAATTCCCTGGGTTGGCATGAGATTTTTCTTTTCAATTATTTCCCCAGCACTGTGAATGGCCTGTTGTGTTTCAAGTGACCACATTCTCCTGTTTGGAAATTCAGCATCCCTCTGCAATGAAATGGGAACAATCAGAGGAAGGTCACCAGGTGAGGGGGCCTCAAAATGCTTCAACGTGTATTAATTGAGTGCTTTCTCTGCCTACAAGAAGAGAGACAAAAGTTCTGCTTACTGCACTCTCATGTAACCTCCATTTCCCATCTCCTCGATTCTATTTGGATCTTCACCATTCAATGGCTAAAATTAAAAAGACTGACAATACCATGTATTGATGAGAATGTGGAACAACTGGAACCTTCATACATTTTTATTGGAAGTGTAAAATGGTACAAGCACTTTAGAAACAGTTTGGCAGTTTCATATAAAGTTAAACATAGACCTACCATGCAATCCAGCAATCTCATGCCCAGGTATTTACTCCAAAGAAATAAAAAATGGGCCGGGCGTGGTGGCTCACGCCTGTAATCCTAGCACTCTGGGAGGCAGAGGCGGGAGGACTGCTCGAGGTCAGGAGTTCAAAACCAGCTTGAGCAAAAGCGAGAGCCTGTCTCTACTATAAATAGAAAGAAATTAATTGGCCAACTATTATATATAGAAAAATTAGCCGGGCATGGTGGCGCATGCCTGTAGTCCCAGCTACTTGGGAGGCTGAGGCAGCAGGATTGCTTGAGCCCAGGAGTTTGAGGTTGCTGTGAGCTAGGCTGATACCACCGCACTCACTCTAGTCTGGGCAACAAAGTGAAACTCTGTCTCAAAAAAAAAAAAAAAAGAATTAAAAAAATGTATATCCAGGCCGGGCGTGGTGGCTCACGCCTGTAATCCTAGCTCTCTGGGAGGCCGAGCGGGCGGATTGCTCGAGGTCAGGAGTTCGAAACCAGCCTGAGCAAGAGCAAGACCGCGTCTCTACTATAATAGAAAGAAATTAATTGGCCAACTAAAAATATATAAAAAAATTAGCAGGGCATGGTAGCGCATGCCTGTTGTCCCAGCTACTCGGGAGGCTGAGGCAGGAGGATCGCTTGAGCCTAGGAGTTTGAGGTTGCTGTGAGCTAGGCTGACGCCACGGCACTCACTCTAGCCTGGGCAACAAAGTGAGACTCTGTCTCAAAAAAAAAAAAAATGTATATCCAATTATCCAATTGTGTGCTGGTAAGTGTTTAACAACCAGCTCTCCAGGAAGAAAAAAGCTTTAGGCTGGGCGCAGTGGCTCATGCCTGTAATCCTAGCACTCTGGGAGGCCAAGGCAGTCGGATTGCTCAAGGTCAGGAGTTTGAAACCAGCCTGAGCAAGAGTGAGACCCCGTCTCTAATATAAATAGAAAGAAATTAATTGGCTAACTAATATATATAGAAAAAATTAGCCGAGCATGGTGGCGCATGCCTGTAGTCCCAGCTACTCGGGAGGCTGAGGCAGGAGGATTGCTTGAGCCCAGGAGTTTGAGGTTGCTGTGAGCTAGGCTGATGCCACAGCACTCACTCTAGCCTAGGCAACAAAGCGAGACTCTGTCTCAAAAAAAAAAAAAAAAAGCTTTAATTTGTAGCATTTTCCAAGTGTGGTATAAATACTCCCACCATGGCTTATTTCAGCTACCAATATGATACCACTGAACCAGATTTGAGAAGAGATCACAAAATATGCTGTGGTGAGTTGGCCACATCATGCTACTGTAATATGTCCACACAAAAACTTGTATGCAATGTTCAGATTAACTTTATTCATAATAGCAAAAACTGGAAACAGCCCAGGTGTCCAACAACAGAATTGACACTAGAGGGTAATGGAATACTACACAGCAATGAAAGGGGACAAACTAATGATACATAGGAACAGCATAAATGAATCTGACAGACATAAGGCTGAGTGAAAGAAGCCAGACACAAAAGAGAAATACCATATTCCACTTGTATGAAATTCTAAACGAAGCAAAACTAATCTATAGTGAAGGAAATCAGATTAGTTGTTTTCTTGGGAGAGAATGATTGGGGAAGGTCATGAAGGAACTTTTGGAGGTGACTATAATATTCTGTGTGAATTTTTGAAAACTCTTTGGACTCTATACTAAAAATGGGTACGTTTTATTTTATGTAAAACATACATCAATAAAAAACTGCACGGCAAAAAAATGGCTTTAAACATAATTCTAAACATATATATATTTTTTCATTTAGAGACAGGATCTCACTCTGTCACCCAGGCTGGAGTACTGTGGCACGATCTAGCTCACTGCAGCCTTGAACTTCTGGGCTCAAGCAATCCTCTCGCCTCAACCTCCTGAGTAGCTGGGACAACAGGTGCACCAGAATGCCCAGCAAATGTTTAAGTTTTTTTGTAGAGATGGGGTCTCACTATGTTGCCAAGGCTGGTCTGGAACTCATTGCCTCAAGTGATCCTCCTGCCTCAGCCTCCCAAAGTGCTGAGATTACAAAGGTGAGCCACCATGCCCAGCCTAAACATTTTTATTCTCATAAATTCTTATTGCTCAGAGAAATTTTTTTTTTAATTTTCTTTTCTTAAATTGAATTCCTAGGCCCAGAATCCCCATCTCACAGTGCAGGTGGCCACTGGCCACCTCAGGGCCAGTGAGGTCAGGAACAACTCCTGTTGGAGCTCAATGAGGGGCTCCAAAATGCTTTGAGAGAGGGGCTAGGGGAGTGCATTTGGCATTTCAATTCGCTTACATATTATTTAATTTGATTTAAAACTTTAATTTCTAGGCAGTATTTGAAGACAGACTTTTGACTCTGTTGCCCTGCATTTACAAAAAGACAAGCAAAATTCCAGTGCAAGCTCACTGCACAGGTGCTGTGGGGACAGGGCAAGCAGCCCACTCCAAAGCAATCCTTTCTCTCCCAAGGACTCAGACTCACCCCAAACCCAGCCCAACTGGCACAACCAACTTCAGCCAAGTACCTCACAGGTACTTGATAAGACATGAAAGCCTTTAAAGTGATTTGGGTTGTTATTATCATCATCATCATCATCACATTAAAACCATTAGAAGTACCATGTGTTAAAACAAAAATTAAAACCCGAGCTAGTTGATTATAGTTTTCTGACATCCCCTTGTAATTATCCACTTGGACATTTTTAAAAAGATTTTAAAGCATTGTATTTGTTGGTTTTTAGCATTGTTAATTTAAAATTCTCAGAAACATCTGAAAAAAATTTAAAATCTAAAGTGTTCACCGACTGCTATTGTAATGCTATACCCATTTTACAGCTGAGGAAATTGAGGTTCAGGCTGCCCTAACCAGAAGGACAGAGGAGAGTGCTCCAAGAATTTAAGTTTAATAAAAAGTGTTTATCACAGTGGGACATGGTGGTTCATGCCTGTAAACTCAGGACTTTGGGAGGCCAAAAAGAGAGGATTGTTTGAGGCAGGAAGTTCAAGACCAGCCAGGGCAACATAGTGAGACCTGTCTGTACAAATAATAATAACAACAACAACAACAAAAATAAAATTCCATGGACAGTGACAAAACACCTCTGGCCCTCCCTGGTAGCTTTCCTTGGTAGGGATTGCAATTCAGTATGTTCAGCAATTATTTTTATTTTTTTAATTTTTATTTATTTATTTATGAGACAGAGTCTTACTCTGTCACCCCAGCTAGAGTGCAGTGGCATCATCATAGCTCACTGCAACCTCCAAATCCTGGGTTCAAGCAATCCTGCTGTCTCAGCCTCCCAAGTAGCTGGTACTACATGCCCACACCACCACGCCCAGCTAATTTTTTCCATTTTTGGTAGGGGTGGGGTCTTGTTCTTGCTCAGGCTGGTCTCAAACTTCTGACCTCAAGCAATCCTCCTGGTTCAGCCTCCCAGAGTGCTAGGATTACAGGTGTGAGCCACCTTGCCCAGGCCCTGCAATTATTTTTAAATTCAATTAATTAAAGGAACAAAAAGCAATTTCCCCAAAGCAAGCTATTCTGAAATGTCTACTTTTGGTTTTGATCAGAAATACATTTTGTAAAAATTTTCTCAAGGTTAACACATTTATTCGAAGCACATGTACACCAACTCCTCAGTGGATTTTACTACCCATCCTAGGTGAAGAAAAAAGTTTAATATCTGTTGGTTTATATCACACATACCTAATAAATTTCTATTCGATTTATAAAATAATTATAAATGAAATTTCAGATAAACATACTCTAAATAATCCTTATTATTTCTGTATAAATGAACCACATGTTGTCTTTGCTATATCATTATTGATACACTATACATATATAGTCCTTTCTATATACCATATAAAATAATTTCTAGGGGGGGAAATGGGCATTTATTGAAACCTTAAAATCTGTACCCCCATAATATGCCAAAATAAAAAAAATAATTAAAAAAAATAATAATTTCTAATACTTTTTGTGACATTTATGTAAATGTTGCATACCATCATGTGATATGAGAAAATGAATTCTAAAGTTATCCAGAGGCCAGGCGAGGTGGCTCATGCCTGTAATCCCAGCACTTTGGAAGGCCAAGGTGGGAGGATTGCTTGAGGCCAGGAGTTAGAGACTAGCCTGAGCAGCATAGCAAGATCCCATCTCTACAAAAAATTAAAAAATTAGCTGGGCATGGTGGCATGCACCTGTAGTCCCAGATACTCAAGAGGCTGTGGCAGGAGGATCGCTTGAGCCCAGGAATTCAAGGCTGCAGTGAGCCATGATGACACCAATGCACTCCAGCCTAGATGAATTCATTTTTCTCACACTACATGATGGGTGACAGAGCAAGACCCTGTCTCTAACAAATAAAATAAAACGAAAGTTACCCAGAATGCCTTAGTATTTGACCACTTATCTAGATAGAATGTGTGACTATCCCCATGTCTTGCTTTGTAACTGTGTGACCTTGGACAAGTTGTTTCTACTCTTGTCTCAGTTTCCTCATCTTTAGTAATTTTTAGAGTATTTCTACCATAGGGTCCTTGTAAGATTCTCAGAACTAATCTGTATCAAACTTCACACAATGCCTGCTGCATAATGACTGTGTAGTAATTGTTAGTTATTCCTGTTATCACTATCATCACCACTGATATTATTAAAGTATCAAAACAAAGATCTATGTCCCTTGGCAGAACTTATTG